AAATAAAAATAAAAATACAAAATGTTACACTTTTTGACAACACATCTATTGGTACTTACCATAAACTGGTGGAGGAGGAAAATATCTAAGTCCAGCCATTTGTACAGAAATTCCAAGAGGATTGGTGCATGATGGATTACCTAATAACATTCAAATATATTAATAAAACTAAACAATTAAATTAGTTTCTCCTAGAGTTGAAAGTTTACATTGAATCAGTCACCTGTTTGACAAAGACAAGACAATATTGTTCGAGAAAACATGTTAATGGCTTTCAAATAGGATATTCTAAGCTATTCATAAACTATCTTTTCAGAGTTTATATATGATTTCTAATGTTTTATTCTTAAACCACGGAAACTGTTCCGTGATACATTCGTTTAGCCGCTGATCACCTGAACAAGGTTATGTTATTTTCCATAGACTATGCGAGTGCAGTTGTTGCAGACGATATTTCACAATTTATATTCCGCGCGAGTATGAATTGGGTCTGATAAGAAATGTATAAAAATAAATAATTAACTCAAATAAAATATGCACAACTGATGCATGAATAGATATAAGATAAGTGTACCGATTCCCGACGATCATAGCAATCAATGTGTCAACTACGGGATCATTAAAGCTGTATAATGTTTTGAAATACCAAAGGAAAAAAAGTAATATCAATATTTTTTCAACGTATACTGCAGCACAGGTTTGATAGTTTATACGACCGAAGAAAAGAAAAAGAAGTCCAATTATTTGCGTTTGTTTCATGGTCGGTTAATGGTCTGAATGAAAAAGGTTGACGTACCAGTACCCGACCACTTTTACAATGTGTTAAATAAAAAAAATGTGTTAAATATAAATAGATTTGATATTTTTATGTAACAAAACAAGTTCAAATGGTTCTAAAAGAATCTATACAGTAGTATCAAACTAATTATTTTCTTAAATTATAGAAATTGATTAATTATAAAGTTAAAATTCGTATACTAGGTGGTCAGGCACTGGTGCACTCACCCTATTCCGCTCTTAAAATATCTTTCTAAGAGTATCTGGCAAGAAAAAAGAACTATTCCTTTGATGAATATATATGAAGCGCTACAAATATTCATCTTTGCTATTCAGCTTGATATTTTCATTTTATGACCTAAATTGCTATAATGACATTTTACAGTTTATTTTGAATAAGATAAATAACAAATTTGAATAAAAAGCTTAAATATAGCTGGTAAAAAACACAATATGAAGTTTTCTTTCAATTTTATGCAACTCCTCCGAAAAATTATTAATAAATAAAGTACTTGAGTAATTCACTGTATATCAATTATTATACATGAATTACTTACATTTAATTCAATGCATCTGCTGCAATTATTATACATTTGGAATTTCGCTATAGTGTATTTATGAAGATTAAAATAGTTTTTAATAAAGGCCATCAATATCGTTAAATTATATTTATAATTAACTTAAATAAGCATAGTGTAAAAAATTCAACACAAATTAAAGTGACTAGCGGAGGTCTAATAACGATTTTTAAATTTTTCTTAATGGCGGTGGTGTAAAATGTAGCCTATTATAATCATATCGTTATGAAACTTTTTCCATTTAGTACTCCGCTGCAATATGTTTTATATATCATCCTATATTGTACCATTTGTATATATTTTATTTATAATATAGCTTTCCATCGCGCTGGAATTTGTGCTTTGGACTGGTCGGAGTCATTTTTCAAAAAAATTATCTTTTCATATTTCGAATTTTCAAATTTTATTAGAAAAAGAAATTTCTCATTTTGGAAAATCTGGTTTTCAAATAAAAGATAAACAGATTTAAACGTCTTCGTTTTTTTAAATAAGCTCTTTAAATATTTAAATATTTTCTTAAATAAGCTCTCCTAAGATGATTTTCGATCACGGCAACGCTCAGAAAAGCGTGACAAACTAAAATTTTTCAAAAAGTAAGATGTCATGCAAACCGTTACTTCGTGGGGACTGTGATTGAGATTTTTTTGAAATAAAGAAAATTTGGATTATTTGAAACCTATTTGATGTACTTTAGAATAAAAACAGTTTTATGACGATATCCGTATTTAGGACAAATTTTATCACGTTCTTAAGGAAACTTCAAAATATCACTATTTAAAACGATTAAATTTTACGCGCGAGTTACGAGCGGATGCCGATTTGTCACGTGGTATAAGCACATGCGGTCGGCAATTGTAAGTTTGTATATTTTGAAGTGAACGTTTTCAATACATGTAAAAGAATTCATTCTTAGAACTGTGTGAATAATATGTGATTCTCGTAAATATCGCTAATTGAGAATAATACTGATGTTAAATTCATCAAGTGTACGGTAGGTACGAAACTAACATACCTATCAATCGATTCACATTCTTAATAATCTAACCTAAATGGATGTTTGGAAAGAGCAATTTAATTAATATTAATGAATTAATATTAATTCATTATTAATATTAATTCAGGGACTTATTCATTCATCCTTGACTATAAAAAAATGTTCAAAAGTTTTCAACTAACTGTGAGGAATTTGCGTGGCATAACTCATGCTGTCAGCCGCGAAACACTTTTAAACATTCAGACGAGAGGTTACAGTAGATTTCATCCTAGACATGCAACTATTGTTAACGAAGATGAACTTTTTGACGTCAATGTAAATAATATTGCTCCAAAGCAACCAAAGAAAATAAAATCCCGCTCGATAAGACAAAAAGCTCAAGATTATCAAAAAGAATTTGCTCATTTAGAGGAAGTAAACATTCCTAGAAGCAAAGATGGAGGCTACAATGAATTTGAAAGTTCAGATGACTTGGATGATGAACAATTTCAGACTGACTCTCAAAAAGTTGACTTGAAGAAAGCTAAAGTAAAGAAGTCTCAAAGTAAAAAGAAAAGTAACCAACATATCCAAGAGGAAGGTATGATTAGAGATAAGAAGGTGATTTACACAAAACTAGATGAAAATGATAAAATAGTTTCGTAAGTATTATAATCTGTGACTTCATAAATAATGAGTATTTGCAGTTTAAAGTATACAAATATTATTTCAAAAATATAGCTCTCTTATAATGAATCTGAAAACTAAAAAAGGAAGAAAGAAGCAAGATCAAATACTTGTAGAAGGAGTTCGTTTTATCAAAGATGCTGTAGAAGCTGGTCTACATCCTGAATTTATTATTTTTAGCAGATGGGAGGACGTAAAGAAAATTGATATTCCTTTAGACAACATAAAATGTTACAAAGTGCCATATCAATCGATTCAAATGTATTCAACTTTGACTACATCACCTGGTGTCATGGGTAAGTTTAACAAACTTAGTTTCTTTAATGTTTCAAGATCTCAATAAATACTTCTACTACTTTTATAAATTCACAGGAATATTTGATAAACCTAAGCCAAAATCCAAAGCTGAAAATTGTTTACCTATTACAATTATTTGTGATAATATTCGAGATCCTGGGAATATGGGTTCAATACTGAGAGCAGCTGCTGGAGTTGGATGTGATAAAGTAGTGTTAACAAAAGGTTTGTTTTTTTAGCTATGTAAATGGCATCTTTAATTTTGATATTGATCATGAAATATTGAAATACTAATTTACACCATTTTACAGGTTGCGTTGATTTTTGGGATAGTAAAGTTTTGCGGAGTGCAGCAGGAGCACATTTCAGAATACCTATTCATGGACCAATAGATTGGCCTGATATAAAATCATTGATAAAAGACCAAGTTAACGTTTTTGTAGCTGACAATAGCACTAATAACTTTGATGAGGATCCAACAGAATCTGAAGAAGATTTTGAAGAAATCATTGGTAAAGACATAGAAAATGATGATGAAAGAACAAAATCACAGAGAACTAATAATAAGCATAAAAGTAGACAAATTTCATTTATAAAACCTGATTTTCCTTTGGTTCCATACTATGCTGTAGATTATACACAACGAAATATAATTTTAATTGTTGGTGGTGAAACACACGGTATAAGCAAAGATTCTTACAACTTAGTAGCAGAATACAAAGGAATCAGAGTCAATGTTCCTTTAGATAATAAGATTGATAGCTTGAACGCAGGAATGGCATTGGGTGTTATTGCTTTTGAAATTAAGAGACAGTTTGCGCTTATTCAGCAAAAATTAAACAAATTGCCTTGAATTGAATTACGTTGATTTACCTTTCTTTTTGTAATAATTCAAATTTTTAATTTGATTCTTTTAAATACAATTCATATAATTTATGTAATTAATACATTTGTAATTGTTTATAGATTCGTTTGTAATCTTTTATAATGTTTATATTACGTTTCTTGATTTATCATGAAAGCCATTTTCAGTATTTTCTGAAAGGTGACAGCACTTGCTAAATCTAGTTTTCATATATGAAATGGACTTTTGTATAAACTCCCTACGGTGTTTATATTTAGATTGAATGAATTTGTAAAAATGTATTTGTACAAAAAAGTGCTTAAAATAGAGATTTAATTACTAAGAACAAACCTCATGATTTTCAAGTTCATTTTTACCTTTTTAGTTTTTTCAAAGATTTTATTTTTCATGTCTCGTCAAGTTTAATATTATAAATTTGTATAGTAATAAGAATTCGAGTGTGTATACAAAATACACACCAGGATCAACTAATTTATAATTATTCAAGATAACTCTTTCACTGCAACTGAATTGCTTTCATATATGATCATTATTAATGTGTAAATACTGATTGTCAAAGAGTGATAAAAGTGAAAGCTTCTGCCAACGAAACGTTTCAAAAACGAACTAATTAAAAAAAGGTGCATCATTTTTTCAGAATCATCTGAGAATTTCGGAACATCAAATTGTAAGTAAGAGAAAGCCGAGATGTTTCCAGCAAGAATCCTCATGCGTGTTCGATATTCTCGGTCCCATCGATTTTGGAAAGTAGTTTAATCGTGAAACCGTATTCCAGTTATATTATTCAGAGATATCCTTTGCGACGCGATGGGAATTCTTCATAGGCTCGTTTTGGAAGCGTATTCGTTTTCTCTTTCGTTTCTTCGTCAAGCTTTATTTTGAAAAATCTCATTCCGAGCTATTTAATTGTTGCTCTTTGAATAATTTTAATTCGTGTATTCGTATAATTTAGTGTAACGTATT